AGGATGTATTCGACCTTTTCTCCATCCACACACTTTAGCAGAGGTGTCGAGAATCCTCGTTTGAATAACTCGCCGGCCACGACTGTAAAACGAGCATCCCGGGAGCGTAACTGCCTAGCCGCTTTCGGGTCGGGAGGCAAGCTACCGTAATCGAGATACGACATGATTGGGTCCATCCAAGATAGGTCTGGGTCACTTGAGGTCAACCTAACACTCAACACGGCGCCGACGGCTATTGACGGGTGTTCTTTGTGTCCGACTTGCACGTAATTGATGCTTTCCACCCTGGCGCTCGAAGCGAGCTTGGCCAGTGCGTCAGCCTGTACGTTGTCCGTCCTGGGGATGTGTTCTATTCGGACTCTGAATTTTCTAAGTCTTTTCTTGGTGAGACTCAAGTAGGGGACAAGCCGAGGCTCTTTCACCTCGTACTCTCCCATTATTTGCTTGACCATCAGCATTTAGTCCGAGTAAATGACTAGGTCGGTCAGGCTCATCGCTTCTGCCAGGGCCAGCCCGGATAGCAATGATTCGTATTTGGCTTCATTGTTCATGGAAGAGGTATTGAATCGAGTGACAAAACAGTCTCTTTTGGGGATCCACGAGGATGACTCCCCCGCCCGCTCTTCCGGTGGTGGATGAGCTGTCGACGTACATCACCCAAGGTTCGTCACTTTTTATTTCCTCGACCCCCAGCGTGAACTCGACGATGAAGTCTGATAGTACTTGCCCCTTTAATGTTGTTCGGGACTGGAAATGGATGTCATATTGACCCAGCTCGACCGCCCACTATACCATTCGACCTGAAGTGTCGGGTCGATGTAGGATTTGTTTCAAGGGAAAGGAGGTGAGGACGGTCACAGTGTATTCAAGAAAGTAGGGTCTTAACTTTTGGGTGGCCATTACTAGTGCATAGGCCAACTTCTCCATGGGCCCGTATTTCAGTTCGACGTCGTGAAGGGCCTTGCTTACATAGTAGATGGGGTATTGTTATGAATCCGCTTCTCGGATCAAGGCGGCGCTTATCGCCACCTGTGACACTTCGAGGTAAAGGTATAGAACTTCTCCTGGTCGTGGTTTCTGCATGGTGGGCGGGTGGCTCAGGACGTCCTTAATCGCTTCTAGATCATGTTGGCATTCAGGCGTCCATGCGAACTTATGGTTTTTCTTTATGGTCTCGAAGAATGGTTTGCATTTGTCGGTTGATTTTGAGATGAATCGGCTTAATGCTGCCAACTTCCCGGTCAGGCTTTGGACCCCCTCTGATCGAGGTCGGTGGCCTGAGATTTTGTATTGCTTCGATTTTTTTAGGGTTGGCGTCGATGCCGCGTTGACTAACTATGTAGCCCAAGAACTTCCCGGATCTAACGCCGAAGGTACACTTTTTTGGGTTTAGTTTCAGGGAATAATCACGCAAAATAGAGAAATTTTATTAAGATTGTTTACATGATTGGACGCATACACAGACTTGACGAGCATGTCGTCTACATAAACTTCCATACTTTCTCCTATCAGACTAGAGAACATCTTATTGACTAGGCTCTAGTAGGTGGCCCCGACATTTTTCAGTCCAAACGGCATCATCTTGTAGCAGTAAAGGCCCCGTGCTGAGTAGAAAAATGTGTGTTC